CCAAGTAGCCAGAATTACAGGCATGTGCTACCACACCCGGCTGATTTTTTTATTTATTGTGGAGATGCAGTCTTGCTGCCCAGGCGGGTCTCGAACCCGTGGGCTCAGGCAATCCACTTACCTCAGCCTCCCAAAGGCACGGGATTACAGGGTAAGCCACTGATCCCAGCTAAGGGACACTTTCTAAGAAGGCAGTAAGATGCAACCTCCACACAGATCTGCAGGGCCCCCCACCTTCCAGCTTGTGGGGCATCCTCCTGAGACACAGAAGAAACGCCCCAAATCCAGAAAGGTGATCCTTAGTGAGTTGCAGTCCCACTCTCAAGACCTGGTCCCCAGGAACATTCTCTTGAAGGGGACCTTGAATGTGCATGGGGTCCACCTGGCATTCCCCCCAGTCATGCACCTGGAGCCATGTGATTGAGCAGAAGCTGCTAAGCTCTGTCCTGGGTTGAGGGTTTATGTGGGGCAGAGCCAGATGAAGGAGATGAAGAGCTGGAGCCTGGGGACAGGACTGGAGGGACCTCGGAGGTTTCTTGAACCTTGGGGGCATGTTGTTTTCCCCTGGCTCTGCCCATCCTGGCTAGCAGTATATCTCTCACACCCAGAGGGCCTGCGGGCTGAGTTCCCCTCAGCTAACACGCCATCTAGTGGACTGCAGGCCCTTTGCTGGGAGAGGGCTTCTGAAGAAGAAACACACTCACACTCTGAGATACTTGTGCGTCCTGAGCTGCCCCAGTCCGGCAGGTCAGGGTGCAGGGGGCTCGCCCTTCATTGGTTGGCAGCGTCTTCCCATCCAGACTTGGTCTCCAGGCCCAGTCCTCCTCCAGCATCTCCTCCTCTGTCCTTCACTCTCCCTGGCCCTAGAGGGCACTCCCTGCTTAAGAATGGAGCACTTGGGCTCTGACTCCCAAGTTCACTGGAAGACATTGTGTTCTTCACCATGTGTTCTTTCTCCACCAGCAGGGTGGGAGGGATAGTGGGGGGTGGGGGCCGGGGACTTGCAGATTGGAAGCCCAAAGAACCTGGGTGGTGACTGCCTAAGAGGACCAACAAATTATGTGCCCCATTCAGGGACCAGCAAATTTGGGGGGACTAACAAGATGAAGGTCTTCTTGTTGCAGCATCTGTTCTAAACAAGGGCTTCAGGAGGAAGGAAGAGAACCGTGTTGGGTCACCCCTCTCTGGTTCTGTGAATTTAGGACTAAAATCCTAAGAGGACCTCCGAGGTCCAGAAATGACCTGACCCTTGCTAAACCTTTCTCCCTTACCAACCTCATATCCCACTCTGCCAAAACGGGCTCCCATTGCTCCCTGGCCCTGTCCTGCCCTGAAAGACCCTACCCAAGTGCCCCTGCCTCACTCTTCACTCCAGCCTGGAGATGCCACTGTGGCCTGGCTTCCTCAGAGAGGGCTCTGTAACCAGTCAGAACCTACAGAGTCCCAGAGTTCCGCCTCTCCGTCACAGCGGTTGTCACAAATTGTAATTCTAACCTCCTCGAGGGCAACTCCCAAGTCTGTCTCTGTACCTGCCTGGCACAGCAGGTCATGCTTTTCAAAGGTATGGAAAGAAGGAACAAGAAAGAAAAACAGACACATGGGCTGTGAACCTAAGGCAGTGGTTCTCAGAGTGGCTCCTGCCCTGGGGGAACGCCAAGACTCTTTAAGGGGTCCTTGAGATCAAAACTCCTTCCGGATGAATACACCCTGAACTGCCCACCAACATGAAGCTGCCCAACAAACCAAGACCTCCAGCCCCTCACTTTCCTCACCGTGCTGGTGTTTGCCCTGATGACAAAAAAACAGTGGTAGGTAAAACCGCTGGTGACTTAGCATGAATCTAGGCATGGCACCAAGCGGCACTAGCAGTGATTGTATTCTTCACAATGTGTTCTTTCAAGAAAGAGAGACTCACTTAAGAAAGTACTTGGGCAGTAGGAAGAACATGGAATCAACCGTGATGCCCATCAAAAAAGGACTGGATTTTTTAAACGTGGTACATATACACAGTGGAACATTATGCAGCCATAAAGAAAGACAAAATCATGAACTTCACAGCAACCTGGATAAACTTAGAGTCTATAATACTGAGTGATGTATCACAGAAACAAAGAACTGAGTATCACATGTTCTCACTCATAAGCCAACCTTGAACAATTACCATCATACTATAAGAAAAGGATTGGCAGCAGCAGGAAATTGCCGGGGTGGAGAGAGGAAGGCAGGATTGGTAGTAGTGGGAATCTGCCGGGGGAGAGGGGGCACACTTCATCAGCAAGGGTACCTGCACAATGAACATTTGTATATTTAACCCTGAATTGTACCCCACGTCTTTAAAATAAAACAATGAAAAGATAAATTAAAATAAAATTAGCCACTTAAAATTTCCTTTTATTTAAGAATAATAAAGATTTTTTTTAAAAAGAGTGTACTTGGGGCCATTGCTTTGTTAAGCTCTGGTGTATCCACGTGGCTCTTTAAGCCATGTTTCCTAGCTTTGGCCTGCTCCCCTACCTCAGGGAGGT